ACACCTAACTTCTGCATTACTCACATGGTGACACCACGGAATACGTCCTATACTACGAAGGCAACGGTGGTCAAATACCTGTAACCTTCTCATGTCTTCCACTTTCAATGGCCATGTTTCACAGCCATACAGTAGAACAGAGCGGACTGCTGTGCAGTACACGCGACCCTTAATAGACAAACGAATATCACGGCGGCGCCATAGGTGGCGCAAATTGGCAAAAGCCAATCGAGCCTTTTGTATCCGTGCAGAAATCTCATCGGCAACTAACCCACCGGGTTGATCCTACTTCCCAGGTAAGTGAAGTGGTCAACACACTCAACCACTTCACTCTCTATTGTTAACCGCGGTACCGCTGAAGACCAGTCCTGGAGCAAAAATTTGCATTTGGGTGGTGAAAATCGCATCCCAAACATTCTCAAATTCCCACTCAAAGTGTTCAGAAGACTCTGCATCTTGTCAGCGTCTTCACCTAACAGGACTATGTCATCTGCATATTCTAGATCTAAGGAAAATTCACCTGTGAGGTCAACGTCTTTGTAATTAGGTGACGAGAGGGAAACCTCCATAAGAATATCTATGATAAAATTAAATAAGAATGGGGATAGTGGGCATCCTTGACGGACACCACTTGATGAGTATAGCTCCCTGGACAACTCACCATAGGCTCTAACATGCCCACAAGTGTTCGAGTAGAGAGCTTTCAATAAGGTGATGTACTTACTAGGCACGCCTTTCAGTGACAGACACTGCCATAAGACTTCTCGATCAACGGAGTCAAATGCCGCCTTCAGGTCGAGAAATACAGCTATTGTCGGGCGTCTGTAAGCATGCCTATGTTCCAGGACCTGGCGCAGTGTGAATATTTGGTCGATACATCCACGGCCAGGTCTAAAGCCTGCCTGGTTTTCTCGGGCTTGCTGTTCCCGAGCTCCACTCAGGCGTCGGAGAATTATAGAACTTAGGATCTTAGACACTATGTTTGTCAGGCTGATTCCTCTGTGGTTATCACAAGAGGACTTCTCGCCTTTCTTGAAGACTGGGATGATGAGTGACTTAGACCAGTCGGAGGGGATCGTATTTGATTCCCATATACTGGCTAACACTTCCGTTAGCCTGACTAAGAGAACTCTACCACCATTCTTGTATACCTCAGCAGGTAGTCCGTCTGGTCCTGCTGCCCTTCCCCGTTTCAGGCTACCTACCGCTTTCTCAACTTCTTCTAGTGTTGGGGGACCTGTCTCTATGTCCCATTCAGGGTCCGACTGGATAGCGGGCAGCGCAATGGTGGCTGGAGGCCAGTTAAACTGTTCCTCAAAGTGTTCTGCCCATCGTCCCAGTCGCCTTCCCTGCGAGTGAATCGCGATCCGTCCTTCTCCGCTATAACCTCACTAACTGTTGTTGACCATTTCCCCCCAGTCTCCTTAATAAGTCTAAATAACTGTCTACTGTTACCGATCGCCGCTGCCTTTTCCATCTCTTTAGCCTTTGCTGCCCACCACTGTTCACGATCGTTGCGCAGACTTTTCGTCAGTTTATTTTTAAGTTGCGCTCGCTCTTCATTGTACTCAGAGCCTGCAGGGATGCATTCACGTGCATCCATTAGTTTGGAAGAAGCTGCTGATATCCACTGGCTCTTTTTAGCCATTATCTTGGAGTCGGCTACAGTCTCCAGTGCTGCTTTTACAGTAGACTGAAGATGGCACCAAGCTTCTTCTGGATGAGTGACAGTCTTTTGTTCCGATAACTGCCTAGCCAACTTCTCACTGAACACGGCTTTGGTGTTTTCGTTGTCCAGCAGAACTCGTAGTGGTTTTGTTGCCAAATTTTTTCTACGTCCATTGAGACGCAGGCATATACGTGCTCGGACCAACGCATGATCGCTGTCCAAACACGTACTCCAGAAGGAGCGGCAGTCTTCCACCGATCCTCTCCAGCGATGACTAATAGCAATGTGGTCTATCTGTGTCCATCGCTGAGTCGAGCTCGGTGGACGCCAGGTCAGACAGTGCCTTTCTTTATGTCTGAAATTTGTGCTGGCTAAAAATAGGCGGTTATCTGAGCATAGTTGTAATAGGCGATCACCGTTATCTGTACGTTCAGCTGGGATTCCGAAAGTGCCACCTAAGTGCCTTTCTGCCTCACTCAGTCTACCCACCTGTGCGTTGAGGTCACCTGCAACAACCACTACGTCCGAACGTTTGGCTTTCGAGAGGAGGTTAGACAGTTTATGGTAGAACTCGTCCTTCACTTCATCCGAACTACAGTCAGTGGGTGCGTAAGCAGAGATTACAAAGAGACAACGGCGAGTCTCACTATTCCTTTTAGTTCTCACTGTGCCGTTCAGCCTCATAGCGCAGAGGCGACTATCAACTGGGATCCAGTCTAGTAGTGAGTTTTCTGCCCTGGTGCTTAATGCTATACCTACACCTGCAAGACCACGAGAGCTAGCTATCGAATCTCCAGAAACTCGAAGGGTGAATTTTGCAGATTCACCAGATTGGTCAGGAGAGGTCAGGTGAATAACCACACTTGGGTCCTGTATGCGTGTCTCACAAACACAGCACACATCCATGCCCGAGTTGCTAGAGTCTTTGCCAACGAAGCCTGTTGGCCAATTTGACGGAGGGTGCGGACATTGAAGGCTCCAATATGTAATTTGGAGCGTGGTTTAAGGAGACCAGGGATGCTGTTCTGTGGACTCAGATCGTTGTCGAAGGCTGCAGAGGTAGGAGAAATTGAAGATGATGCAGCATCATTAATTAAGAGACGTGAAGGAAGATTAGAAGGTAATGATGGAGGAGGAGGATAGCAGTCAGAAGAAACTTGGGTGCTGACAGAGTTGTGAGGGCGGTTGACACTTCCCGGCTGCCCACACCGTGGAAGGCTATTTCTTCTTAAGGTACCTGAAAGAGATTTGTGTGACCGCAGAGCCCATCGGACATCTGCTTGAGGCCTGTCACACCCAGCCTTTTGAGTATGATTATTTTGAATTTTTGTATTTTTGGGGCCGGATGAGCGAAAGGAAACGACAAGTGAACCAACACCGCCGGCCCGGCAGACCGTGGGGCGTGGTGGAGTGTGTTATTTTTGGGGCCGACCTTTTCTAACCCCCCCTTCCACTGAGAAGGCAGCATCAGCTTGGCACTGCTGGTCATCCAAGGGAAACACCTTACTGCTGTCACACCCCATCCAGCTAGCAGCAGTACGACTTCGCCCTCAGACCCCCATCATAGTGTAGCAATTTACACTATAACGGTAACTGCTTTTCGTCTAACCACTACCCAACAGACCTTTCTGGTATGGTAGGACCTCGAGGGAACAAGCGTTCCACCAGCATAGCTCGTTGGGTCATTGTGATATGCAAGCCCGACCACCACGTCAAGGTAGCAGCTATCGGTCGAGCTCCATTATTAAACACTGTAAAACAAATTCAAACTCAGCACTCGTCGCTTCAAACGTCAAAGCTTTATGCACTATATGCCTGGGGTGTAGACACATCCGACTGACGAGTCTCAAATAGGAAGAAACGCGTACCTTGGATTCCACTCCTAGCTATCACTAAGTAGACTACAATATAATGAATGCTTGGGCTGTATGGAGGCATCTGCAAAAGAGATCATCTGGTAACAGAGGTCGGGAAATTACAGGTATGAATAAAAAACAACGGGAAAGAAAAACTGAATAAGCCCACTGAATATAAATTGTCCAGTAAATATTACTGTTCGATCGTGCAATTTATCTAATAAACTAAATGAGTCTGCATAACATATCAATGTGAATAAAAACATTTAGCTCAGAAAAAGAACTGACCATTCATAGTATAATAAAACAACGTTGCCTGTTATCGCCGATGATCTTCCTGACTGTGGTCGACTGGACAGGACTGGATCATTCAAGAAATTGTGAGGAGTTGTGAGAAGATGGGCATACGCTGTTTGACCGATGAAAAAACCCTACAAGATTTGGATTTTGCCGATCATGATTTATGTCTAATGTCGTACAAACTCAAAGATCTACAGGTGGAAACTAACAAGTTGACAGAAGAGGCAGGGCAGCGAAGACGAGACTGACTTCAGGTGAACGTAAAAAAGACAGGTGATGAAGATACACAACCAACAACAACAACAACAACGAACACCAAGAACCATCAAGGGGAGAAATCTAAACAAAGTTGTCTCTTTCACCTATCTACCTACGCAGCATCGTTTCAACTACAGGCAGCGGCACACATGACGATGTGAAATCCACGATCGGAAAGACAGCAAGATAGGCCTTCCTGCATTAATGTGAAATCAGTGTGGAGATCTACTCCACTCCACTGCACTGCACTGTACTGCACTCCACTCCACTCAACTCAGCATAAAGCGTGAACAACATCCACATTTGCAACACTAATTCAGTCAGGTAAGTCAATGCTTCTATGTGATGGTTGACAGACTTGACACGTTACGAAAAGCATTTCCAACAAACTACAGACAGACATACATGAACAGCTGCCACCTACCCTCACTACTCGATGCTGAAGATGAGATCAGATGGTCAGAAAGAATAAGTGACGAGGAACTCACTGTGACTGCCTGGCTTGCTGGCTAGCTGGCAGGCAGGCAGGCAATTAACCAATCGACCAAGAAGCTATCACCCAACAAATATGCAGAAGAAGGAAGTGGAGATCGATTGGGTTGGATTGGATTGGACATACACTGAGAAGACTGTTTGGGGACATCGCATGCGAGGTCACACCCCTGAGTGGAATCCTCACGGGAAATGACAGGTTTGGTGTCTGAGGCGAGGGTTACATGGAGGGGTGAAGGGAGATGATGTGAGGAAGAGATGGAAGCTTGTGGGGAGTCGTGGAGCCAGGTTGAAGAGACTGTAAAGAAGAGAGTGAAATGGTGATGTGCTTCTGAATCCCTATGTTCCACTAGGAACCTAAGGACAAATAAATACCATAATCGTATAATAAACCAGAATAGTAAGTAAATGTGTAGTATGAATACCTGTTTTCAAAATGATTGACCCCAATGGGTGTAATTTTCATCACAGCATTCCTGGTTGTATAAATTGTTACTGGATCATCTGTATCTACAGTGGGTTTAGCATCACACGGTTCATTATATATTCCAGTTGGATTGATATTGCCTAGAATATTTCCAGTATCTTTAAAGTTGATAGTGTTATTTTTACATGATTTTTCATAAGAACCGAAATTAGTCGGTGGTGGTGTAATATCAGGTGTTTCAGTCAGTTGTACATGTTGTTGACTGTGTTGTTTCTGTTGATGATGCATATCAACACCACTACGACAAGTGAATGGTACTGATGTGCAATGTATAGGTACAGCATGTCTAATTGGCAAAGCAGCATCAGACCAAGCAGAAAAAGTGTCTGGAGATTTTCTTGAACTTGGATTTGATCGACTTTTAAATCCATCTAATATAATATCAGCAAATTGTACTAAAGACTCTTCATATTCTTCTTCAACAATAAACTGAAGTATTCAATAAACAGGAGAGAGAAAAAACAATAAATAAATGAACTGAAAGAAGAGAGAAAGCAAACAACTGATATCCAGGTTAGAAAAGAGACAACACATTTAGAAGTTTAGAGAGAAAAGTTATGACAAGAAATACTGGGTGATGACTGAAGGCGACGGTGGGGGGATTCGAACCAGCGATCATCGGGTTGCTGGTCCGATGCTCTACCAACTGAGATACAAGGTCCAACTGCTTACCACATTTATATTTCACTCTAATCACCAAGGCGGGTTTTGTCCGACTACCATTCACATTCAATCATCACCCAGTATCAATACTAGTCTGCAAAACCACATCTATCTCAGATAGTCAAAATGATAATAACAAGAAGTGTTCATCTACTAATGGGACTATCCAAGATAACCTTACTTTAGTAAAACTAGTTTTTAGCAATAGAGTGAAGATTGAAGGTGAAAAGAACACCTTAACTACAACATGATCTGAATCTACAGTTTTTGAATCGCAAACTTAAAACTTTTCGGTTCGTATCACTTTACTACCGAAGTCCTCATTTCCACTTCAATTATCGCTTCATTAATAAAAAAAAGAAAAAAGAATACACAATACGTCGGAGTAAATGTTTAAGAAAAGTGTTATTTCTACTTATGTGGAAGGTTCTTATGAATCAAGGTTTCTATTGATGACATTTTCCCAATTAAAACACCAAATGGATCAGAAGAGTAGATATAACTAGACTAAAAAGTGATTTAACCATTCAATAGTAATCAGAGCTACCCTTTTTATCATATAATTTTTTAGAATTCAATTTGGTCTACAGAAGTACACAGAGAGACAGAGAGAACTTGACTGTTTCGAATCGATGATTTAAAAGTATAAATCTCCACAATGCATAAACGTGTAGATAATTATAAAAATCCAACTATTTTTTTCATTTAGAAAAAAACGCAAAAAATACAGTTTAAAATCAGAGTGTAATAGGTAACCTCATTGCATAATAAAATATACACAAGATTATTAAGTACAATCGAATTGATACAATAAACGTATCATTAAAACATAATGTTTGTTTTTTCAACCATCAAAACAGTATTCTTCAACCGCAGTTTTTTCGAAGCTAGAAGAAAACTGTATTGTGAACTCCCTTTTGAATGATGAATGGAAAAATCGTAGAAAGCAACACTTTTTATTGGTTATCTTATAAAAGCCATTGGAGTGAGTAAGACATAATGGTGAAGCGTTTAGAACAATGAATAGATATAAGGATTCTTCAACATCCACTTAGGTTTGACATTTTCTTTTCATCACTTTATTCATCGAATACTCGAACTTAAGCCATGAGTAAACTGACTTGACAACATACTTGTTTATTTTCATGTTCATCACATGCGACATGGTTGTGAACATCTAGAAAAGTTCAGGATTCTGTTAATTGAAGGATACTAGTTACCACAAGCAAGTATACATTTCCTTTCCAGGTGGTAACTCGCAGCTGGAGTAAGATTATAGCAATCAGCTTATACGCTATTCTGTACCGCCAGTAAGCATCCCAATATTGGGCAAAATAATAATTGTAATAGGCTAAACACCTTTTTGTTTTAAAAAGTTAGGGTTTCGTCCTTACATAGTCTCTTCAAGGTTTCAAACGACAGACAATCTATATGCTGCTCAATAAACCTGAATAATATACATTACAAGCAAGTTGCACTACACAGTTGGTTTACTTTGGTTACTAGTTTTACCTAAAAGTCACAAGTTAAACGTTTACAATAAATATTTCTCAGGTGAATTTGATGGGCAAGAATGCTTGTACAAACATTAAAAAAAGTAATAACGTGTTTTATTCGAAATGTGTTTCACTTGAGTGCTCTTCAGATTCACTTCCCATCGATATGTTTTCTAAATACTTTTCTTCTCATCTATTCATTCATTTAATAACCGAATTGTTATGTTGATTAAAAAAAATATAGAGTGTAGTTAAAACAGAAATACCGTTGACCTGTCATTTTTTAAATATTTAAGTCCCAAATAGAATGAAATAATTTATTTTACATAACTCACTAGTTAGATGAAATAAGCAATAGGTGAGAATAAATATTACAGAAACTTTAATAACACATTGCTGTTCACTGTGATTCAACTGACAAAATGCAGGGTCATCTGAATGTATTGAGCAGAAATTTGAGTATATTCGGCATGTGTTGTACACCTATCGAATGTAAGATGATGCTTCAGAATTGGTTTGATGCAAGTACTCCCAGTTTAATGATAAGAAGTGAAGTGGTGGAATGTGGCAACCACTTCATTTACTTGGGAGGTTGCATCAGCCCGCACGGTTGATTGCTGACGAAATATCAGCTCAGATACAGAAGGCCAACTAGCGAGATATCCGACTACCTAAGAAAAGGATGAGTATCCTGCGAGGCAGTCCGTTCCATCCTGTAATACGGCTATGAGACCTGGTCGTTAAAAGCAGAAGACATGAAGCGATTACAGGGGTTTGATCATAAATGTCCTCGTAGAATGCTCGCGGTTGGTGGAATCACCGTGTGAGAAATGTTGAGGTCAGGTAAAGGATCCTAGGCACGACAGCCAAGTCGACTGATGAGGTTTGGACGTTCGTCGGCTGAGATGGCCTGGTTATATACTGCGCATGCCGAGTCATTATTTACCACCAGGTGTCAAGGTAAGGGAAGCTCGATTAGGTTGGAAGAGGGTTCGGGTAGCCAAATCAAGACGTGACACAAGTTCATGAAGTCTCTCACTGTTGGTCTGAGTCATATAGGGAGATGTAGACTACCTAAATGGGGTCCCTGAAACGAAATGAATCAGTGGTTGAAAACTCTTCGCAACATGGCTGAAAATCGGTCACCATGGCGAAGATGCATTCACTCTTTGATGTCTTCTAAAGCTTGAATATTCACACTAACCTTTACCTTCAAATTATTTGTTACCTAACACTACTTGATTTACTTAACATCACTCCTTTTCTATTCACCTTATCTTGGTGTACTTCTGTGAAGTGTGGCAACTTGGAGTGATGCGCTTATGTGCAAGATTCTACGTTGATTTCACTTGTGTCTGGTCCCATTAGGAAATAACAAATTCGTCTTTTCATACTTAGTTTTGCTATTTGAATAGACTTTCAATAAGCCAATCAATATCCTCTACGCACCTGACATTACTGTGTAATAGCATCAAAATAAGGGAAAAAAGTAGTAGAAAGTGAGGAAAAAGGAAGGAAGGGATGAGAAATGAAAAATTAGTGAAACTTGGTATGACGAGAAAGATGAATACAACCAGAAGATGTATTTGTGCCATTGTGGAGCTATAGCTCATTGGCATAGGCAGCCAGCTATCACACAATACGCGTAGCTCATCCTCTGTTGCATGAATGTGCTAATGCGTTTCGATTTTTAACCGATTTTATCACTGAAATCGATAATGAGCCATATCATCTTGAGCAGCGAACCGTTGGTTACATTTATTGAACGGATTTCAACCGGGAAGTCTACATTTGCATACACGGCTCAGACTAACAGTCACAAGCTTCATGCACTGATCCACTGTTTTAGATTGGCCAGTTTTAACCTTTTCTCAGCTTAAACCCATTTCAGCCAACATTACATGACTAGTAAGATGGTGACTGGATTGTGTAACACATGTCCTGACCATCTGAATAAATGAAGGTTCACAATCTCACTAACCGACATATCTCTCCTACCTAAAATTCTACACTACTATGAAGGCAACGATGGTTGAACACCTGAGGCCTACTCATGTCCTACACCTTTAATGGTCATGTTTCACAACCACACAGAACATAGCAAACTGTAGTGGAGTACACTTGACCATCAATACGTATACGAATATCACACCGAATCACAACTGGTGCAAGTTGGTGAAGGCCAAGCGATCCCTAGTATCCGTGCAGAGACTTCGTTAGTCACTGACGCACCATGACTGATTTGACTTTACAAGTAAGTTAATTGGTCAACACACTCAACCACTTGACTATCTACTTTTGGACGAGGTACAAGGCATCCAGAAGAATGTGCATTGTCAGCATCTTACCTCAATAGGACCATATCGTCTCTATACTTAGGGAGTACCCTGTGACCAGGTTAAACCCTGTACTGTCAGGTGAGAAGAGATGGACCACAATAAGTACATCTATGGCAAAATCAGATACAAAGGGAGACAACATAGACTTAACAAACACCATTCGACATACACAACCCGTCTAACATCTCGCTAGAGTCTGTAACACGAACATCGTGTTCGAGTATGAAGTTCTAAACAGAGTGATGTACCTATCCGCCAGCCTTTTCAGTGAGGAACACTGCCATGATACTTCTCGATTGAAGGAAACAAGTGTTGCCCCAGGGTCGAGGAATATAGCTAGTTTTGGGTGCCGGTAAGTGTGCCTATGTTCCAACACCTGGCGAAGAGTGAAGATCCAGGGACACACCCCATGATAAGGTTTGTAACTCGTCTGGTTTCCTCAGAATTTCTGTTTTTAAGCTTTAATTAAGCATCTAATGATCATATAACTTAGGATCACAGACAATATGTTTGTCAGACTGATTCCTCTGCGTCTATCATAGGAGAATTCCTCTCCCTTCCTGAAAGTATCAATCAGTGATTCCTATACGCCAGTTAACACAAGTTAATTTGATCAATAAACCCCGATAGTCGCTCTCAAATATGTTCGATGCCGGTCGACTTTCTTTTTTCAAGTTAGTTGCAGACTTCTCAAATTTTGCATCGTCTGGATGCCTTAACTCATTTTTCAGTTGGGGATCCGATGGGATAAGGGACAATGGAGACTAACTGTTCTCCTTCAATAAACTAAGTGCGTTACTTCTTCGTTCAGCATTGTCAGCACGGACCACAGAGCCGAATCTGAAGACAGTGCAAAGCTGGCGACAAGAAGAGAGGAAATAACATGGAGCTCAATGAGACAGAAGGTTGATAATCAGGAAGCTTTGGAGTGAGGGTGACTAACACTTCTCAATTACAGCACTACCTTATTTCGTATTGAAGTACCTTGGGATGAAATTTTATTAGAATTTCAGCACTGGCAGAGAATAATTACGTGTTACAATGATACAATAACAGTAATTATAACACTGTTACAGCATTATACAAAGAAAACATGGAATTTGTTAGTATTGATTACTTATCGAATTGGAAGCCCAATAAATAATTTTTGTAGGTCGCTCACAGACACCTTCACATTGACTTGATTCGGTCACCAAGCGGTAACCATAAACCAACCAAATCCGAAGTGTTGACCGAAGTTTAGTACTCAAGTTCGTAATGCAACCAATACTGAGATTCGCAAAAGGCATCATTGCGCTACTATAAGTCAACAAAGTCCCAGATACCCTCCAGGTTACTTTCCATTTAGTGAGAGACACTACCATAAAACTTCTTAGTCGATGAAGTTGAACGTCACCTTCATGTCAAAAAATAAAGCTACTTTCGGGTTTCTGTTAAATAGCTTGTGTTCGATGTCCAGGAGGGACAGTGAAGACCCGATGGTGTTTAAAGGTTTTTTGTTTCTGAAATATGCTGAGGAATCTAATGATTATACTGAGCCTCGAATCTTAAACAACGTTGTTCAGACTAATTCCCATTGGTTGTCACATGAGGATTTCTCTTGGAAATCGGGACAACCAGTGACTGAAACCATTTAAGATGGGATCATATTTGACTTAAAAACAGCAACTAAAATAATTTAACCAACAATTTTCGATCATCGTATTTAAATGCCTGTGGTGCGAACCCAGTAAGGTTTGTTGCCCTTACATATTTTCGTTAAAATAACAGGCTTTTTACATCTAGGCAGTAGCTGGACGTCCTATCTCAGAGCATCATCAGGACATAACTGAACAGCGGTCGACCAAAGACTAGCTGGAGGTCAGCTAAAATGTTCCTCAAAGTATTGTGCCCATCGTTTCAGTCGTATCATATGAGAAGCGATCTCAGATACTTCCTTCTCCGCTATCATTCTACTAACCACTGAATTTTTGCTTGCTTCCGTCGCTTAAGACCTTTCCCTCTTTTCAGCCTTCACAGTTGACCACTACTCACGGCAAATGCATACTCTACTAGTCTATATTTGAGTTGGTTCTTCTTCTTATTTCAGTCAGCATGCAGGAATGAGTTCACATGCATCCACTATTTCAGAAGTTGTTGAGGTCCACTGATTTCTTCCAACTACTTTTTGAGGCTCAGTTACTGTCTTTGGTGTTCTGTTTACAGCAGATTAGAGATAATGCCACGCTTCTTCATGATGAGTGACATTGTCTTGCCCCCACAACTCCATAGCTAGTCACTTGTTGAAAGCAACCTTAGTATCTCTATCACCGAGCTGTAGGTGTCGTTTTCTTACGCCCATTTAGGTACAGACATAGGGGTGCTCACGCCAACATATGATCACTGTCCAAAGGGGTGTTACAGAACAAGTAGCAGTTTTCAACCGACCCTCTCCAACAATAGCGTTAAGTTCTGTCTATGTCTACTTTTGAGCTAAAGTTGATCGGCACCATGTCAGGTATTGTCTCTCTTTATATCTGAAGTTTGTGCTGGCCATAAGTAAGTCGAGGTCTCAGCACAGTTGTGGAAGGTGATCATTATTATCCGTTCGTTCGGCTGAGATTTCCACGGTCCTACCGAAGTCCCTTTCTGTCTGGCTAGGCCTCCCCACTTATGCGTTGAAATCACCTGCTACGATAACCACATCTGAACACTTTGCTTTCAGTAAGAGGTTAGACAGTTTTTGGTAGGACTCGCCTTTCACTTCATCCGAAGTATCGTCAGTGGAAACATGAGCTATTATAAAGAGAAAACAGCGAGTTTCACTATTATTTTTAATTATTATCACATCATTCACTCAAACATCGCAGGGGCAACTATCAAATGGGATTGATTCAAGTAGTTTGCTTTCTGGCTTAGATAGTAATGTTATGCATACACCTAAAACACCAACAGAAATAGCCATCGAATATCCAGAAACTCAAAGAGTGAATTGTGCAGATTCACCAAGTCGGCTCGGTGAGATTAAATGAATGATCACACTCTAGTCTTGTATGTGTTTCACAAGCACAGGATATGTCCGTCATTCGAGTGAAGGTTTCGGTTATCGAAACCTGTATTCCGACTTAACGGAGTGTAGATATTGAAAACTCCGATATGCAGTTTGAAGTGTGGTCGCAGGAGACCAGGCATGTTATTCCACCACTTCAGATCGTTATGAATAGCCGTAGAACTGGAAGAAATTAAATACGATGTAAAACTATAGAAAGACATTTGAAGAAGGATTAAAAGGCAAATATATGGAAGATTGATAATGACATGAGGGAAGTTAAGTGCAGACAGAAATGTGAGGGTAGTCGACACTTCTGGCTGCTCACATCGTAGAAGCCTACTCCTTTTTGAGGTACCAGAAAAAGAGTGGACTAATAAGGATGATCTTAACGCGGATGCTTGACCGTAGAATGATTAGGAGAAACAACCGATAGTAAAACCTTAAGCCTAGGCTAGACTTACGCTACTCAGTATTCATTCAGTAAACAATACACACAACCTTGGAGAAACACATTCCTTGCAAAAATTGGAATACAATATAATTCAATACTGCAATCGGATACATGAATACAGGCTATTTGGACAAGCGAATATTCATAGACCATACAATACACAATATATAAAGACATATCATAAACTTGGGGTTCTGAAAAGTGTTTTCCTCAACACCTTGAAACATTAATGCCAGTTAAACAAAATAATTGACTGAAAAATGCTTTTTCCATATCAGAACAAATTATAAGTCACGTCTAGACCTGTTTTAGAATACACTCAAGTTTTGGTTTTCGCAATATATCCTTTTCTTCATGAATTAAGTGATCATCGGATGGTAACCGAAGCAGTGATCAAATCTTAAGTGATCAGCACTGATCAGATTCGACCCATCAGTTTCAAACTGTAGTCAAGGCACTGAATTAAGTGCTAAAGACACTGCAGAAAACTTTATTCTGGTGCTAGGTACTAAGAATCTAAAAACATGAAGTCCTGGACCTAGTTTTCATGCCAGTTAGCACTCATAGACAGGTGTATATGGGGAATTTTGAGGCCAAGCATGTTTCACCGGATAACTAAATCCATATCAGTCAGTGCTTGCGTCAAACATATTATCGCTAAGCTATTCAGCTCACGACCGACTTCCTGTATGACAAGAGAATCGATTCTCATGGATTACCTGGAATGCAACAGATTAACTAGATTAGAAATTTTGTCTTAAAATACTTCAAGGAGTCTGAAATCACTGCATCACAATAGCAGTGTAATTATTATGGCAATCGTATCGATAAGTTCTATGTGTATCATATGCTTTCCTAAGACTTACTTCTGAATTAGGACTTGCATGACCACTACCACAAGCAGGATTTCGAAACGCTGTACTAGTAATTATCGGTGAACCAGAGGAACGATCGAATGGAACAGAAGCTGTTAACCGCCTTCTGTAATTAGGGGAATAGGAATGTGGTGATGAAGAAGCTGAAGTTTCAATATTTGCATTGATTTCCATCTTAATTCAAAGATCATACAAAGAAAGAGAGAAAAAGAAAACGTTATCCAACTAACAGAACATAAAGTTTAGTTTTATGAGGATACATTTTAAGCGCTATTGCCTTTTGGCATGGCAGTGTTTTCATTGTTAACATTTGAAGCATGAGAAATTCATTCACAATCCTAAAAAGGACAGATAACAGGCAATTAAGGCTGATTTTCCTACACTGACAGTATGTATAAACTTACAATGCTAATGTATGATTTATCTTTCTTCAGTTAAAATTATTTACATAATTTAGTTTTTATTCTAAAAGCAACTTGCAAATATTATGCAATAACCTGACAGCAGAAGCTATCAATTCTCTTAAATATCAGCAATAACATAAACACAACGCTGCCGCACGAAATCATCAGTATTGCTAGTGCAAGACATTTGCATAATGATAAAAACGTACCAAAAACGAAAAAGTGCATAAATCATAAGGAATTAGCATCTGAGCAGTTTAAACTCCACTCTTAACCAACTGAATAGCAGACATTACACAACTTCAAGTATATCAAGAGTATCCAAAAGCCCTGATAGAAAGGAATATATATATATATATATATATATATATATATATATATATATATATATGTCAATGGAGGGAAACCATCATCATCAAGATCAACACAGGACCAGGCATTACTGCCTAACGCTCCAAGTTGCCACACCTCATATCAGCACATCAAGTAACAAGGCAGTAAAAAGGAAGATGAAAGGAAGAAAAATCAGCCAACGAAAGTAGAAGTGGAAAGCAGTCAGAGAGAAGAAGCTAGAATGAGATATGAGACTAAGTATAACGGTTAAGATGCGGATAATGTTCGTATACATTTGCGCCACTGACATCGGTTCTGATCCATATCACCTAGAGTTTCCAACCACTGGTTTCGCTTGTCCCGTGGACCCCAACCGGCTAGTCTGCATCACCCTACATGGCTCAAACCAACAGTCAAGGACCTCACACATTGATGCCATGTCTTAGTCTGACCACCAAGAGCCTTTTTCCAACCTGAACCTACTTCGACCAACATTGTATGATGAGGTAGACGGTGGTTAAGCATACGTAACATGTCTTAGCCATCTCAGTCGACGAAAGTTCACATCCGCATCAACTGTCTTACCTCTCCTGCCTAAAACTCTACGCCTGACTTCTGCGTAACCAACTTCATATTGTTTAATCCTAAGTAAATGCTGATCGACTTCTATCGATCATTTTGCAAAGTGGCCACCAAGCTAGTTGGTCCAGCATCGCGATGCACTTCAGTAGATGTTAGCTGGATGGAGGCAGTCGGGAAAAAGCCCTCGACCCAGGTTTCATGCTTTTTGGCAATCGTCAGCAAGGCGTATCTGCAACCTATATGAAATTGATCTCTCGCCTGAGATTCGAACATGCGTCACCACCCAGTGCTGCAGTCAGAGACGTTACCGTTGAGCTGTTCAGGCTGCAACTGACCTCCTATAGGACTGAATCAGGCAAATTGATTGGTCACTGGAGGATAACCGAATATCTCAGTGGTAACGTCTCTGGTTGCAGCACTGGATGACATGGGTTCGAACCTCAAGCAGGACGTCAGTTCCGTAGAGGTTCAGGATGCGCCTTGTTGATGAGTGCCGAAAGGCACGAAACCTAGTTCCAGGGTCTCTCGCCGATCGCCTCTATCCAACTAATGTACATACCTATATATATAGTGTCATTAAATCGAAAAAGATGCATACTTAACTACAAAAATAGGCAAAATATCCGAAACTAGATTCTATTCTGGTTCATCATAATATCCATGACTGTCTGATGTATAAATATTGATCTACAAAGCCAATAATACACTTCCAATTGTACACTTCATTTGACTCAGGGTTCGATAACCACGAAAAGCCGTTAGACAGGATGACTTTTGTTTTCAGGTTATAATTTCGACTGAATTGCTTTTAAATGCTACTTAATGAGGTGTATAAAAACCATTTCCTTTAGAAAAATACTGAAGTGAGTGCGGCTCATCACTCAACTTACCATATCATCATGAACAGATTTACGCTGTTCATCATTTGGTGTTTCAGTTGATTTACTCGCGAAAGATTTTGATAAAAAGAGTAAACTAGGTGAGAAACGGCTACGGTCTAACAATTTCTTCAGGCTGTATCTTCCTTTCTTAGATTTATCTTTTGCTTCTGATTGTGGCGTTTTGTCTTTCATATCTGATTTGACAGGCATAACCAACTTGGCACAGTAACTTTATAGAATACCCTTTCTGTATACTTGAAATTTACAAATGCTTTTTTGAGAATAACTAAACAAAACCTAAATACAAAAAACAGTAAAGTTTGTTCAGTGGAAGGTTATTAATACCATTTTTTTAAAAGAAATAAATATTTTAAATGAAAATGAAGCTCTTAAAAGTATGCGCATACAAAGCAATAGGTGAACTGGTTGCGAGGTAAGTATCGTTGTCGCAATTCTTGTTTATCTTCGCTATAGACGCGGTATTGTATATAACTCCAAGTAACACCAAATTCTCATGAAATGATTCACCTCAAGGAGAAAACCTACTTGACTTTGTGTATGCAGAAGACATTGTCCTGTTGGCCAAAGACACGCAAAAAATGCACGCCCTTCTGAACCTCATAGACAGAAAGTTGGATATGTTTGGCATGTGTTTCACACTCATCGCATGTAAGATAAAGCTTCAGAACTTATCTGCACAGTCTTCTAATTCAAGGACAGGAAGTAAAGTGGTTGAAAGAGTTCACCATTTCACTTACTTGGGGAGTTGTATAAGTTCAAATGTGGGGTGCCAACGAAATATTCGGTTGGATACAAAAAGGCGGTTCGGCTATCCTACATCACCTCTGGGGCTGGCAAGACATATCCACGTATTAAAGTACTAGTTTAGTGTGCAACAATTCTCTCTTTCCCACTATACGGCTGTGAGACATGACCTTCGAAAGTAGAAGATACAAAGAGATAAGAGGCTTTTGAACACAAGTGTCTTCGTAGCATCCCTCGTATGTGATATGTTTGCATGTCTAGATACTGGAGAAGGAAAGTAAGTCAGCTGATGAGGTTGTGAACCCTCACCGACTAAGATGGCATGGACATGTGCTGCACATGCCGAGCCATCATCTTGCTTGACGCGCAATGCTACCTGAAGTAGAAGGACGATGGTCAGACCAAGATGCAGCACCAATTCATGGAACCTCAACCTTGGTCTGAGCTAAGTAGGTAGGTGAAGACTGCCTGCCTCGGGTTTTCGAAATAAAAGGAATAGGTCACAATGGTGCAGATGTATTTACTCTGACATCTTCCGAAGTCTGAACATTCTCACTAACCTTCAATTATTTCTTCTCTCTCTTTCAACACATTTCCGTCTATTTTAATTTCATTTTTTGTCTAACAACTTTTTCTTTGCATGATGTTGTGAAGTGTAGTAAACTGAATTGACGCACTTCTGTGCTAGTTTCTACGTTGACTTGTCTGTTTGAGATGAGTGTTAAATGCTGAAAGGCAAGTAAGTAAATCTAATATTCAAATGAATAACAGAATGAAGCAAAGAGCCTAAGAGCTTATACATTTCATGGAAGTGGCCTGTCTGAAAATATAAATAAATAAGTCGTGTTCATCTTAAGTAATCAATTTCGGTAGAATATAAATCAGCAGATGACAATTACCTCCTCGTTGCAGAGGATTAAATAAACACAATAAATATAATGATGACACAGCCGAGAGGAGTTAGATTTCATTGGTCCAGATACTTCACTTGTGTGGTGCACTCACCAGCCAATGCTCCAGTGAGACACTACCATAAGACTTCTAGATCGAATGCCACCTCCACGTCAAAAAATACAGCCAGTGTCTAGCATCATCGGTGTGTTTGTATTTTTATACCGAGCGAATGGTGAAGAGCTGGTCGATATATCTACAGTTAACTCTGAAAACTGGATGGTTTTCTCTTATTTGTAATGAAATATTTTTGTTTTGTCGTTCTTTTCCTGTATCTTTACTCAAAGTTTAGTGCTTTTGCACTCTTATATGTAGTGTTATCTTCTTGTATCTTAAAGAACTAAAGGATGTAGGCCATTCTGAGCATCATTCTTATTACCTAAATCCAGTTGAAGGTAATATTCTTAAAATTCTCCCAGAAACATTGCTTGGGGTACAGGCATTTAATGTGGTCAGATGAGGTAAACGAGAGGAAAATAAACTTGACTCCAGAAGAATCTTAATAGCAGTCCGAAAAGTGAAGAAGAGATAGATGTCATTTTGGGTATCGCACCTAAGGTATATAACAAATGCTCAGATTCATTCGCCCAGGCCTCTAGACGACAGAAAGAAACGATAGATGGTCGTAACCAAACTAAAGGCTCCGAAAGAGGAAGGAGAAGAGGACATTAAACCTGTGAATTTTCAGATAGTGAGGTTATGAAATCGAATACTTCCAAGACCCACATGGGTAAGCAGGGTTATATCTCAAAATTTTAACAGTGCTGTATACTAATCCCCGAAGCCTGGATCGTAAAACATCATAGCTGGGATTCTTGGTCGAAGTAAGATCTCATGTATGTGTTGTGACAGAAACAATGCTCATAGATGTGGATTCTACTATTCTATCTGGGCACTCCTACGTCAGGGCTGATAGAATGGTAAGTCGTAGGTGTCGAAGACTTCTACTCCCCATTGATGTGCACCTGAACAAAAGACCGACTTATGCAGCACATGGAAACAGTAAATGAGAGTTAATAAGCTGAAACGTCAAGTTAGTTGATGATGTAGTCAAGATTTGGGTAATCCACTGGATTCTAAGTTGCTCAGTGAATGATTTCGTACTGAGGCATATACTTTCATGCAGTAGTCCTACGATGCCCAATAAAGGGTGGTCTAAGCACACTATATATTAACTGCGCGGAGCTCGTATATAGAGGTTCTAATAACTGCTTCGATAGAGACAACAGAGTGCTAGTTCAAAACATTTAGTGTAGCGCGTTTTGATCTAAAGCATAAATTATCGCTTTAAGACTTCATTTGTACACATCAAAGAGAGTCAGTAGCTGATTTCTCGCACTCACTTCTATCAGTCAATAGTCACCACGTAGTAATGCTTTTCAAGTTTCGTACGTACAAATGAGATTATAGTTCCATTTCCTCTAGACAGAATGTATGGTGCGCCGACATGCCGGCTATCAAGAAGTGTGAAATCACACTACACCACATGGCATAGTAAAATACCTATAGAGGCTTTGAAGAAAATTAGAGCTATATTTGACGATGTAACTTCACCACTTTGACCGTAGTCAACTCCATGTAAGCATTTTCACCACTCTGCATGAGTTGATGAGCCTTGAAACTTATAAGAAGGAGAAAACGACTATTTGACTTTTTCTAAAACAAGTGGAGAGGCACCTAATATTGTGCATTGCAAGGTTGTGGACATGCATAAACTGAGTATTGGGAGGTCCACAATAACATACAAAAGGCAATTTGTAACTGGATGTCAGGTCCGTCCAAAATAGTCGTTCTTACAAATCAAAAGAGTTAATCACAAGGGTGTCCAATCTCTTCGATCACCCAAAGATTCAGAGGAGCTGGCTGCGCCAAATCTGTCCACAGTTGAATGTCTTTCTGATGACTTTAGTGCAGTCTTCTAAGTACATAGAGATGTTATTACTCCGACCAGTACTACAGAAAGTGCACCAACAATGGGATCAGTGAAGATAGCAAGAGAGGTAGTCTTTCAAATACTGAAAAATATAAGGCTTTTAAAATCCCCTTGTCCTGATAGTTTCCATCCAAGACAATTATCTTTCTTGACAGATACTATCGATGGGGTGCTTAATGGACTATCCAGTCTGTATCTATATCGAGCTCAGCTCTCGAGAGACTAAAAAGACGACATGATCAATTCATTGTTTAAGCCAAGTAATAGGCAACCGATATCAGATTACTATCCCGTTAGCTCGACTAGTTTTGGTATCAAAGTATTCAAGAAGAACTATTGGGAACAGAATGCTGTTATTTCAAAAGCCGTAATTTCACGCCGCTACATGAGTTTCATGCTAGTCCTTCTACATAACTAACCTCAATGCACAAGAGGAACTTTTAGCAGCTCGTAATTACCTTATTTGTTGGCTTCAGTAAGGATTTCGATAAAACTTCGCATAATGGACTAATGAAGTACTCAAGTTTCGGGTTGGACATTATGATCCATGTTTGGACTGAAGGGTTTCTATGCGACAGAGAGTGCATTGAATATCATCTGAGTGGCAACCTGAGTATTTGGCTTCTCAAAAAAAAAAATTCCGACCCTTTCCTTTACGTAATTACCTACGGGGTATGATTGAGTCTCCGGTGTTATTACTTGCGTCTGATGTGAAATATTGTTCACCTATAAATATGCCAACAGGTATACACTGCAGGGAGACCTAAGTGAACTAGTCAAGCGGTCAAAATGTTGGTGTTTAGAAATTAATTCTAGCAAATATACATTTATGCATACTGATCATAGCATCTTTCATCAGTACAACATACGATACCAGAACCTGACGTCCAAGAAACTGCAACCAGTCACAATTTAGAGTTTGAACACTACACAAAAGCCTCAGGAAAAGCGCTTTAAGTAAATTAGTCTCATTGTAGGATACTCTAATACTTTGATGAAGACGTTTCGAAAATAACATCCGTTTGTAGACCCTATAAGGAGTTCTATAGAGCAGACGTATACATCGAAACATCCAATCCTTGCTTCACAAAAGATGCAAAAGCACTGGATTACGTTCAGAATCTTGGCGCTAAATTGGTGGTTGATCTGTCGAGCCTATTTTATGATAAACCGCTGAAAGCACTTGTATCTTCTTTTATTATCTAGTCCTACAAAGGCTTGGTACTATCACTCTGTACACCTTACAATGATCTTCGGTTGAAGTGTTTTATTTTTACTCTAAATAATCAGTCATCTCAGAATCCTTCACAAGAAAACTCTAAAAATATGTTCCAATCAACTCAGCTTGAGTCTACGCGTCTTACATAGTGGTCAACAACCACAGCTCCTTGCGTGAGTGAATAGTACCAGCTTTTTTGATGAAATTATTCAATTGAGATCTAGATCTTCATAGAGAAAGCTAGTACAAGGATTAACACAGACCAGATTGGTCTACTAGCTACACTGCTAGAAACTGATTAGTTGCACTGAAATAGGTGGCCAGTAGAAAATTTGGATGAAG